AAGATTTTTTCCCACATTGTGGGTTGTCTCTTCACACTGCTGGTGGTTTCTCTTGCTGTGCAGAGGCCTTTTAATAAGAAGAGATCCCACTTGTTGATTATTTGTGCTAGTTCACAGGCAACTGAGGTTTTGTTCATAAAATCTTTTCCTACACCAATCAGACACACAAACTTAAATACCATATGGTGTTTCTCATTTAAGTGAAGCAAAGTACAAAGTGAAGAATAAAGGATGACTAGAAGGGGACAAGGAGATGGATCTCTTGCAATAGGGAAGTGGTTTAGAAAGAGAAGGGGAAATAAGTAGAATAAAGATATGCCATGCACAGGAACCTAATAATCTCAATATGAATATATGCCATAACATGAGCTAAGATTAAAACTATCAGCAAGAATGAAAAATGGGATGGGGAATTGGGGGAAAAGGGTGGGAGGGAGAGGACAGGGGGAAAGGATTGAAGAAAAAAAGAAGAAGCTGTGGTATGTACATGTAATCATTCCCCAAGACGATTGTGAACTGCAAACCTGTACTAATTAAAAATTTAAATTTAAAAAACCCAGCCAACATGGTAAAGACTGCCTCACTCCTATGTTAACAAACACAGCCCTGTCTCCACAGAACATATTCCACTGTGCAATGTCCCTGGACCAGCTCTATTTCGCCCGCCCGGTGCCACTGCACTCTGGGTACCGCTCCCCTCTCTGGGGCCTGTATCTCTGTGGCAGCGGGGCCCATCCTGGTAAGTGGCCCACAGCTGCACTTCGCTGTGTGGACTGTGAGGACTGTTGGGAGGGCAGAGGCTTGTGGACAGAAGAGGAGGGTGTGCAGTGAGGGAGGAAGAAGCATGGAGCCCCTGCCCCAACAAGCCAGCTGTTGTCCAGAGCCCTGGTACAGCGTAAGTGCTCCATAGTGACTAGCCAGTCAGCCACAGCCCTCACTTGATCGCACCCTGCCCTCAGGTTTGGAGGTTTGTCTCCAGGGAAGCATCTCCCAATTCCAGTTTGGGTTTGTGGGAGATCCACACCCCTAAATCCCTCACCCATATTTGAGACCAGAAAAATCAGTAAAGTTAGGTTTTTCAATTTTAAAGTTCTTTCCTATGCAGAAGCCAAGTCTCCCTAGTCCGCTAGAGGCTGCTGCTGTTTCCTGGTACTTTATCTGAGCTGTGTGGGTCTCAGCCTCCTAGGGTAGATTGTGCTTCCCCATCTTTCCCAGCCCTCATTCTTGTATTTTCATTTTACCACTGTCTCCCTGTATAACACATGGCTTCAGTCATGGCACAGTCCCTCCCCACTGTGGTGCAGGACTTTGGAGGGAGCCCAGAGTCTCTGGGTAGTGGTCGCAGTTGTTGCTGGCTCTGTATGAGCCATGACTCTGTCACCTCCCCAGTGGGTTTCTGAGCAAAGATATGGTTGCAGGAGGAGGGGTCATGGGAGCCGCTGGACGAAATGCAGCCCACGTGGTCATTAGAGACCTCAAGAGCATGTGACACTGACTCAACCCCAGCCCAGGAGGAAGAACTCACTGCTGCCAACAGTTGGCTTAGCTGTCTAGGAAGCTCTGCTCCAAAGGGCACTGCTCCTAGCACCCAAGTCCACAAAGGCCAGCTGGTATTTTAGAAGAATGTGCAAGTTACACTGAGCACAGTCACCTGTACCCTGTGCCTCTGTGAACAAAGTGGCTGTATTATTAAAAACTGTATTTTAGAGATATAGTTTACTCTGTGTGTGTGTGTGTGTGTGTGTGTGTGTGTGTGTTTCTTATGTATTTGTAGGACTACATCATAGTAGGTAGGATGAGCTTGTTTAGGATACTCAGTGTTCTCACATAGGCTTGAAATTTGGCCAGAGGGAGAGTCTGATCCACAGTGGTTGGGCCCCATTCCTAGATGATTGGAGGATATATTAGCTGAGGCCCAATCAATGCTGCCACATTCCTGTCACCATAAAAATGGACCCACATCCCCAGTAACTCACAAAGTCACCAATGGGGGATGACCTGAAAAATATAGGGCATCTCAAGTCATCAAACCTCCGGTCTTTCAAACAGCAACCAAGGGTAGCCACCAAGTGGATTCAGCTAAGGCTGCACGGGAGCCTAGCACTGAAAACTCCAGAGCATTCAGCCTCCTGCTTCCTATAAGGTAAATGTGCTGCATTACTGAACCCTTTAAACCTATGGCATTCCAAAGTGAATCAGGTTGTCGTTCTTGGTCAGAAAGGTACATACAGAAATCCCACTTGGTAATGAAACACTCCTAGCTTTTCCAACTTTAGCAGCCAAGGCTTCCCTCTAAAGCATTCCCATTTGTAGCTGAGGTGGAAGCTTTCCAGGGAAGCTTTTTTTTTCCCCAGGCAAAGTCATACAAGTAGAGAGACATCTACCTCCTTACTTAATGTTGGGTTTCTCCTGGGTTGAGTGGTTTTAAAAATCAAAACAATAGCTCATATTTTAGTCCAGCAACTGGAAGCATTCAGTACACAGTGGAGGTGATGCTACTAATATCATTGTGATGGGTGTTTTATCATTTCTGCATTCTGCAGAAGGCAGTCTTTCCTACCCAGAGTTGAAACTAGCCCACCAGAAGCACTGTGATCAGGACAGTGTACAGTGGTCTTTGGGCCCACCTAGCTTTTTCCAAGCAAGGGCCCTCCCCACCATTTGGCTGGATTGCAGCTGATCTCTTCAGCTTGTGGAGAATTTGGATTTGGTCAGGGCTGCTTATTTGCTGAGATTTACTTTTCTCAAAAGACTTCCCAGGACCAAAGTGAAAAAAAAAAAAGCTTGGAAACAGAGAAAGGACGAAAGAAAGGGAGGGAGGAAGAAAGAGGTAAAAGGAGGGAAGAAGGAAAAGAAAGAGAAAAGAAAGGAAGGGGAAGGGAGAGGGTCCTGAGGTCCAAAGCTGACCAAATCTTTAGTAAGACGTGGCTTAACATTATGGCAAGCCGGTTGCCTTGTTCACATTTCCCTTGGCCTCACAGCAACCAATCCCTAACATAGGAGAGAGCAGAAGTAACAAATAACAAATTTTTGGGAAATCCCCCAAAAAGCTGGGATGGATCACATTAGACTTGGTCTTTAAAAATATTGTGATTGTGGCAGAGTAGGAGGCTTCCGGGCAAACACTACACCATTCCCAACACAGAGGAGGTGAGCACACCCCCCACCCCCAATGAAATGAGAAGACACATAAACAAGCCTCAAAAGAAGACTTCCAGATCACCTACAGCAACCCCAAAGGGAAATGAGATGGAACTCTCTGATACCCAACAACCTGGACTCCCGGAGCTAGCAACAAAAGAGGATCTGGAAAAAATGAAATCAGAAATAATTTCTCAGATAACAGCAGAGATTGTGCCTATAGTGCAAAGACATGATTAATAAATCTAGAGAGGACACAGATTTAAAAAATGTAGGAGTTAGGACCGGGGATTTAGCTCAGTGGTTCTGCCGCCTGCTTCACAAGCACAAGGACCTGAGTTCAATCCCAGGTACCAAAAATACAAAACAAAACAAAAAAATAGAGGAGCTGAGGAACATGATGGAATCACAACATGGGAAACAAATAGAATCCATAAAACAGATGCAAACAGATTTCCAGGAGATTAAAAGCTCCATTGAAAGTTTACACAGAATGAGCCAATGTGAGGACAGAATTTCAGATATAGAAGATAATATTGCAATTAGTGACCAGGAAAAGAAAATTTGCTTTAAAATTGCAAGGGAACATGAGAAACCAATCCAGCAGCTGCTAGATGATGCAAAGAAGAATAACATAAGACTGATTGGAGTCAATGAAGAAACAGGAGAGAGTGCAGATGACATTAAAAAACTGTTCACAGAAGCGATGGCAGAAAACTTCCCAAGCAGAGGAAAAGAACTTGACATACAGATAACTGAGACATATAGGACTCCAAATAGCCTTAATCAAAAAAATCTACACATAGGCATATAATTGTTAAGATTCCAGAAACCCAGCAGAAGAACAAAATTCTACAAGCAGTTAGAGAAAAGAAACAAGTCACATACAAAGGAAAGCCCATTAGAATCACAGCAGACTTCTCAAAGCAAACCCTCAAGGCAAGGAGAGCTTGGAGTGATGTATTTCAAGCCCTAAAGGAAAACAACTTCCAACCCAGATTGATGTACCCTGCAAAACTATTTTTCAAAATTGATGGAGAAATAAGATACTTTCTTTTTTTTTACCATTAAAAAACTTCTTATTTTTAAATTTTTTACAAACACCCCCACTTGGGGTCAAAATACATCTGGTTAAGTATAAAATATAGTTTTCATCATACAAAAAGTTACACAAAATATAAAATCAATGACACCACCACCTTCAGCCCTCATACTTTCTGGCTGTAATTCTCAGGAAAGGGTGGAGCTCAGTGCTCTGACACAGGACAGTGAACAAAGTGCTTTGGCTGAGGGGGACTGATCAAGTGCTAGTGGCTACAGTAAAGAGAAGCTGGCATCCCCCTCTCCTAACACTGGATGGAAAGGGGGCCCGAGGAACCCTCTAGTTTCTCTTGGCAGTGTCTGGAGGCTCTGATCACGGTGTTGGGGCATTTGTTCCAGAGTCCCTCCTTGGGGTTCACAGAAGTCACAGTGGGCAGCAACCCTTTATATGATTAGAGTGTCAGAATTACACAATTCTGCACACTGGAACAAAGCCTCAAAAGTAATACTAACACATCTGTGTCATTATGCTTCCCCCTAGAGACTAGTAGCTTACATTTGAGATGGGGAGGAAAAAACAGAAATAGAAAAAAAATGATAGGAACTAAAGTGCTGAGAGCATCATCTTGGAATCAATTCCAAGGAGTCACTTGAAAAAAATAGATTCTCCCACATACGTAAGTTTGCAACAGGAGAACAAAGTGCAATAAGGCTCTAAAAAATGGCTTTAAAGACCTTTGGTGGGGCATAGTTGCTACTGCTTTACGCCAGGTTAAACTGTATTCGAAGCACAGACACCTCAGAGCTTTCCTGGAACTCAAAGGAGAAGCACTCTCCAGAGCTCAAGCCCAATCAGCCCTGGAGCGGTTTTTTCTTTTTTCTGTAAGTGTACAAAACAAAAGGAAACACTGACTTTAAAACACTCTTTTTCTGAGTTTACTAAACTGATAATATGGCACAAGAGTTTGGAGTTTGATGTTATTCTAACAATCTGTAATTCCCTTAAAAAAAAAAAAAAAAAAAAACAACCTTGGGAGAACCATGTCGGG